CCGCTCAGTTCCTTTTCTTTTTTCTCAACAAGTTTTGCTGCTATTTTTTTTGGCAGCGGGGGGGGGTTTCAAAAATCAAAAAGGAACCACTGATCTATACAGTTAGCCTGATATCTGCATTTTAACATCCTTACCAGGAGGGTGGTGAAGCACTGGAATGGGTTACCTAAGGAAGTGATAGAATCTCCACCATTAGAGCTTTAAGGGCCAGCTTTTCAAGGTCCTGGGTGAATGATTTAGCTGGGGTTAGTCCTGATTTGAGCAAGAGGCCGGACTAGATGACCTCCAAAGATCTCTTCCTACCCTGATCTTCTAAATCTTTAGCACAGACCAGGGGTGGGCAATAAGACACAGAGTTCACCAGAGTAAGTCCCTGACAGGCCGCCACCACAGTATTTACCTATACCTCCACAGGTATGGGCACTTGCAGTTCTGTTGGTTGTGGACTACTGTTCCCAGCCAATGAGAACTTCAGGAAGTGGGTGTGGATCGGGACACTGCTTCCTGCAGCTCACATTGGCTGGAAATGGTGGTCCACAGCCAACAGAAGCTGCAAGCACCCATACTTTTGGAGGAGCAAGTAAACAGACCCTGGCGGGCCACTACTGCTGTATTTATGGTGAACTGCATCCAGCCTGTGGGTCAATTATTGCACACTGCTTGCATAGACTGTGATTCTGGCTAACTTGTACTTTTATCAACAGAGCTTGTTTCAAAAAGTTTGGAATGATGAAATAAGCTACACCGTTAGAAGTGTTACGTTTTGCTGGTGTACTGTGAATCTGCACAACAGTATCTTTGCCAGTATAGTCACCAATATGCCTGTACCAGAAAAAAAACCACACACACACACACACACACACCTGCGTAGACATGGCCTTAGTGAGCACAGGTAGACATAACAAAAATGGATAATAAATAAAAGCTCAGTCAGTATACCAGCAGAATTAAAACTATCATGGACCTAACCAAAAGCACTTTTTCCCTTTGACCCTTAAATAGAAGTGAAGGCCCTCAGTTACAAACATTGGCAAACTAAGGCGCCAACTGCCCATGCTACTCAACCTTCTTAGTGTTTATGGAGTCCTAGAAACACTGCAGAGTAGGGCCTCGATAGTGTAAACGGTTAACGGACGGGACTGGGCCTCCAGATTAACTGTCAAGGTCACACACAGTACTTTCCCCCAAACCCCACCTCTGTATCAGAGGCAGCAGAGCAAGGGAGAGCAGGCACTGCCTACACTGGGCCCCCCCATGTAAACGCTGAAAAATTCACCGGTTACGCATTTACCGAAATAAATGCATTTTAACATCCCCACTGCAGAAGCCTGCTACTGAAAAACCCCGCACCTCAATGAAGTAAAAAGAAGAGCGATTCCAACCCGCACCAGCAGAAGAGAATCAAGCCGAATTAGCAACTCTCAATGTAGCTGTAGGTTATAAATTTCAGCTTCCAGCGGGGCGAGTACCCAAAACCCCAGAAAGGCGGCAGAATTTTTTCAGCCCGCTTCTCGGCTTTTAAACGCCAAGGCCCCGCCCCACGGACAGGACTTCGGGGGCAACCTGCAAGCGCAAGAGTCGGGGCCTGGCGTGGATCCCACAACCCCCGGGGCCTCCAAGCAGACTGGCTGGGGGAGGACGAGGGAGACAATAACCAGCGGCGCCGCTGCGGGCCCTGACTCGTTACCCGACAGTCAAGGCCTGAGCCGCGCCCGGCACTCACCGCTTTCCTGGCGCCGGGGTTGGGTCTCAGGTTAAGCAAGCTGACCCTGGGCAGGGCGCGCAGTAGCTCCAGGGCCTGGGGCCCACCGCCGCCCCGCGACGCAGCTGCCATGGCCGCTCCTCACAGCACGCCCCCGGCAAGGGTAAAAAGCGCAGCGCGCATCGCTTTACGGCAACCGGAATTCCCTCCCAACTGTCGCGCCGCGCCTTGGTCGCGGAGGGCGGGGCTGAGCAAGGGCCGGGGTGGAGATGCGGCTGGGAAGTGAAGAAAGTGGGCGGGGGAGGGGCGTTGCTCTGTGGCACGCGGCAGGATAGCGCGTGTCCTCTGGTTCTGCGGCTTGTGACTGTGCCATCGTGAAAACAGTGAACACCATTTGGGAGGCAGCTATTGTTTCCCTGTCCTCTGTAGCCATCTGTTGTCTCTTATACTTGGATTGTAATCTCTTAGGTGCAGGGGTTTGTGTCTTGATTTGTATTTGTGCAGCACCTACCAGAATGGGAGGAAATGGGAATGGCTAGGGCGGCAAAGAGACTAGCCCTAAGAGCTAGGTAGAGTGTGGGACTGGCTGGGAAAAGGGACTAGTGGAGCAGGGGAGGAGCTTGAAACTGGGACTCATAGGCTGGAAGGATACTAGGACTTTCTGGGCAAGGAGACACAAATTGGAATGAGAAGCTTCAGGAATGAAGAATGGAACTAGCCCACGAAAGCTCATCACCTAATAAACCATCTTGTTAGTCTTTAAAGTGCTACATAGTCCTGTTTTTTGTTTCAGCTACACCAGACTAACAGGCTACATTTCTATCATGAAACTAGCTAGGTGAGGAGAATAGAACTGACGAGGAACAAGAGGTGGAACAAGAACGAAGGAGAAATAGAAAGGTCTGTGCCCACTACAGCACACTCTCCTCCAAAGCATAAAGGGATCCCAACAATCCAGAATGTAACCATTCCCCTGCTGTTACTAAATATCTGTGAAACCTACTGACTCCATCTTCTAATACTGGCTCACACAAGAAAACAGGCTGATCTCAGGGTATGTCTACACTACCCCCCTAGTTTGAACTAGGGGGGTAATGTAGGCATACCGCACTTGCAAATGAAGCCCGGGATTTGAATTTCCCGGGCTTCATTTGCATAAGCGAGGAGCCGCCATTTTTAAAACCCCGCTGGTTCGAACCCCGTGCAGCGCAGCTACACGGGGCTCGAACTAGGTAGTTCGAACTAGGCTTCCTATTCCGAACTACCGGTACACCTCGGTAGTTCGGAATAGGAACTAGCATAACAGCATAACACATACTGAGATGAATAGGGAGCATTATTTTTTTCAGTCTGTGCCAAAGAATTTCTTTAATTCAGCCAAGAAAGCAACAAGGGACATATCATTAATAGAGAACAAATAGATTGAATAACATCTTAATAAGACTGCAGTTTGTATAGACTTTTTTTAACATCTCCATTTCATATGGTAGATACAGTTTATTATCTACCCATTTAGGAATTCTATGGTTATGTTTTATTATTTAAAAAAGCTGCAAATAATTCTAATAAAATAAGTTTACTGGAAGCTTTATAAAACATTCAAAAACCAAACTTGTCTGTGTTTTATAATAAGTGTGAGATACCAATTGGAACGGATGTTTTTTAGTTCTTTGCTTTTTATTTGGAATATAGTTGCTACACTTTTCCCAGTATTAAAGGACCAGGTGTATGGAGTCACCCTAAGTCACAAGAAACCTACTGACTTATGCAACATATGCCATTTAACAGGAAAGTATAGCAGCAGTGGACATATATGGGAAGTGTGCATCTGTAGCTTTTCCTTAATACACTGTTTTTCAATCTGTCCTTACTAGAATAAAGATATGTTCCTACATTAGCTTGCATCTGTTAACTAATACCTGGTAAAATTCTAACAAAAACCAAGGCTGTTTGTAGTTTTCACATTGCAGGTCCAAGCAAACTTTAGGCTCCTTTTATCTAGACCTGCTAATATATGAACATGACAAATTACCTTGTCTTCACTAGAGATGTTAAAATGTGTGTAATTGATTAAACCTGTAACTGCTGAAAATGACGACACGGGGACAGCAGCCAGCTCCTCATAAGTTGCTGCACACCGGGACCCAGCTTTTAAGCCAGCTCCCTGTGCATACTGGGATACAGAGGCAGCAGTGCAGAGCAGAAGATGGCTCCCAGGGTGACTGCAAGGGGATCTGACATCTACTGCTGATGCTCCTTGGCAATCCCCTGGGCAGTGGTGCTCAGGGGAGGGGCAAGAAGTAGAATGGGTGTGGAGCAGGGATGGAAAGAGGTGGCATGGGGTGGAACTAGAATAGGGGCAGAGCTTGGGGAAAGGGAGTTCCCTGGCTGTGTACAGCTACTGTAAGTAGCTGACATGTCTGGCTCCTAGGTGCAGGTACAACCAGGGAAACTCTGTGCTCTGTCCCCATCATTCTCACTGGTAAGGAACTGTGAGATCTGCTGAGCCTCTGGCCCCCTCCACCTTAGAAGGTGGCATGGGGTGGAACTAGAATAGGGGCAGAGCTTGGGGAAAGGGAGTTCCCTGGCTGTGTACAGCTACTGTAAGTAGCTGACATGTCTGGCTCCTAGGTGCAGGTACAACCAGGGAAACTCTGTGCTCTGTCCCCATCATTCTCACTGGTAAGGAACTGTGAGATCTGCTGAGCCTCTGGCCCCCTCCACCTTAGAACTTGGACATGTTGGCCGCTACACCCCCCCCCCCCCCCCCCCCCCACCTTTCACCTCCCTCCCACACGGTCACCTCTTGCCTCAGCCCTCTCCCACACTTGGAACCCCTCATTTTTGTAGCGGGGACAGAAGCCTGAGACAACCTAAAACCTGTAATCCACGCTAGGAGAGGGGCAAGGCCCAAGCCCCACCCCGGCTGTCCAGGGCTCAAGTCCTTGGGCTTGGCCCAGGAGAATCCCCATCAAGTCTGACCCAGTCCTTGTGACCCCATTAAAACGGGGTCATGAGCATGACGCACAGGCTGCGAACCGCTGGCCAAACCGAAGTCAGGGCTTGGGTGAGTGCACGTGCCCCTCTCGCCACGCAGCAGAGTATTCCCTCTGCGCACGCGTTCTGGCGCGAGACTCTTCCACCAGCCGTCAGGGAACCACATGAAGAGTTGAGTCCAATCCAAGATGGCGGCGCCTCGGCTCCCGACAGCCAATCGGGGGGCAGAGTAGTGATGGGCGTGTCTAAAAGGGGCTGCAGGTGCCCCCCCCGCGCGTAGTTTAACGGCCGCCCTAGAGCCCCCCCCCCTTTCCGCGCGCGTGGGGACAGCAAGGAAGGGGGTGGTGACACAAGCCCAACGCCCCTCCCCCAGTTACTGTTAGTCGCTGCGTTTGCGCCCCGCGGCCACCTCACCTGCCTTCCCCCAGCCCGGCCCGGCCCGGAGCCTGCCTGCCTTTCCCCTCCCCTTGGCCCGGCGCCTGCCCCTCCTCCCAGCCAGTGTGTCCCGCTGGCTGCGCCGGAGCCCCGTGTATGTGCGGCAACAACATGTCCGCGCCGCTCCCCGCCATCGTCCCGGCCGCCAGGAAAGCAACCGCCGCGGTGAGTCGGCCCGGGGGAGCCGGGGTTGAGCGGCTCCGTCCTCGCGGTGGCGTGCGGCCCGCACAGCGACGAGTCTCCGTTCCCCACTGTCACCTCCTGGTGCTCCGGCTCCTTGCCCGCCTCGGGACCCCGGGCCGTGCCCGTCAGTTACTTGCGCCGCGAGCGGCTCCCCCACAGGCAGCCAGCCCTCCGCCCTCGGGTCTGCCCCTCCGAGCACAGGGGCAGCTGGCAGCCGCTGCATAGGGGCGCTGGGGTGATGTGTCCGCCCGGCTGCCGCTGCCTAGTCCTGCTTGTCTTCCAGTGCGGGGGTGGGAAGTTCTACTTCTACCCACGTGTAGTGCTAGGGGCTCTCTTCTTCCTGCCGCCTTTTGCCTTAATTTGCGATTTGGGGTGGTTTAGACACTGGGGTTTGTTTGTGGGGTGTTTTTTTAAGTGTTTCATTAGTTGCTGGATGTTCGGATGTTAGAGGAGATGAAGGACGTTGATGTCCTTTGACTGATAAGTTTCCCTATTTGTCTTCTCTTTTAATAGGATGTTTGGCAAGAAAACAAATATAACTACTACTATCTGGAGTTGGTCCCTTTAATGAAAACAAGTAGTGAGAGAGCAAGCAAGATCTGTTACAAACCTTATTCCCAGAATGAGAAATTGAGAGATGAATAGCAGAAGCAATATGAATTATTCGGTTATTATTGTAGTAACATCATAAACCGAGTTGGGGGAGATGCTTTCATGGAAAGGAAAATAGGGGATAAAAATGCAAATTTTATTAGAGCATTCAGAAAGTATGCAAAATAATGCTTGCACTTGATCTTGCACATATTTTATAGTATGTGGTTTTATAATAATTTAACAAGGGTCATGGTGTTAATGACTATTTTAAAAACAAGATTGGATGTTTTCTAAACAGTAGATTTTAGGAATTATTTTGGGGTAGTTTTATGGACTGTATTGTACACAGGATCAGAGTATCATAATGGTCTCTTTTGGCTGTAGAATATATGAAAGTATCACAACTTTTTTTTTCCTTAAAAAGCAAACAAGGGAATTAGGCATTAAACAATTATTTTAACTCTTGCATTCTTTTAAAAATGTAGGTCATATTTCTTCATGGATTGGGAGATACTGGGTAGGTATAATGGCTTACTGATGAGTATCTAACTTATTTTACAGTTTGATATTTCTGAGTGGTTACAACTCAGTTGCTGTTTGCTCACTCATTATAATGTTACACTAGCACTAGGTGCAGCATTTATGCCAAATGATAAAGAGGTAGCTGTACTAGTTGTTAACAACTCCCACATAAACTGCAAACTTAAAAGCCTTTCCATCTCTTTAACTAGCTTTAATGTAATACAAAACTAAACTAGTTAAAGCCTATTTACTAGTTAAAGCCTATTAGTCCCATATCTGGGACTAATCACTAAGTTGAACTAGCTATCTTTCCCCCATTCTTTCCTGAAAGTTTGAGTGGGGAAAGAGGGAATGCTCATTGAATTATTATATCTTCAACTTCATATTAATTCTTAAGCCTCATTCATGCAAAAAATGGATCCACAGTTACGAACGGGGCCCTTCCTCTCCCTGGTCTCCCTGGTCTCGTTCCGCCGCTCTGCTCTGCTCTGCTCTGCTCTGCTCTGCTCCCCCTCCCCCTGGTCTGCAGACCAGGGGGAGGGGGAGCAGAGCAGAGCAGAGCAGAGCAGAGCAGAGC